TGAGAATTCTATAAACAGCACTAAGGTGTTTTTCCTTAGAAGAATGCATGAATTGGCTAACCATGCTCACAGCAAAAGCAATATCAGGACGAGTGTGAGACAAATAGATTAATTTTCCCACTAGTCTCTGGTACTGCTCCCTATCAACATCTTCCCCGTCTTCAACTCCCATCTTGATATTAGCTTCAATTGGAGTCTCTGCCGGCTTGCACCCAAGCATACCTGTTTCTTGCAACAGGTCTAGAATGTATTTTTTCTGAGTTAAAGAAATTCCTTCCTTACTCCGAGCAATTTCCATGCCAAGGAAATATTTGAGAGATCCAAGATCTTTTAGTTCAAACTGGTCAGCTAAACATTTTTTTAAAGAGGTTATCTCCTCGCTATCATTACCAGTGACAATTATGTCATCAACATAAACGATCAGAATAGCAATTCTTCCTTTGTCGGAGTGTTTAAAAAATAAAGTGTGATCAGTCTGAGCTTGGGTGAACCCTCTTCCCTTAACAGCTTGAGTAAATTTCCCAAACCATTCTCTGGGAGATTGTTTAAGTCCATAGAGAGACTTCTGCAACTTGCACACAGAACCATCCCTTTTTTCAAAACCAGGAGGTGGATCCATGTAAACTTCCTCATGGAGATCACCATTCAAGAAGGCATTCTTAACATCTAACTGTTGCAATGGCCAATCAAGGTTGGCGGCAAGAGATAGCAGAACGCGGATAGTGTTAAGTTTGGCAACAGGAGCAAATGTCTCCTGATAATCTATCCCATGAGTATGAGTAAATCCCTTAGCAACTAATCTGGCCTTATACCTATTGATGCTATTGTCTGCATTGAATTTTATTGTGAACACCCACTTGCAACCAACAGTTTTCTTTCCTTTAGGTAATGTCACAAACTCCCATGTTCCATTTTTTGTAAGTGCATCCATTTCTTCTAATACTGCATTCCTCCATTTTGGGTCATCAAGTGCTTCTTGGATATTTTTGGGTATCCTGGTACTATCTAACATAGTGTTGAAAGCACGAAAACCTGGAGACAACTTTTCATATGAGATATAATGGGAAATAGGATGAGCAGTGCAAGATCTAGTACCTTTCCGAAGAGCAATAGGCATATCAACGTTGGTTGTACTAGTACATTCAAGTGGGTTGCTGGAACAAGGACTCGAGTCAGGATCCTGGCAGTCTAGAGTATCTTCATGTGTTTTGCGCCTGCTGTAAAATTTTTCCCATTTACCAGGAGGATCACAAGGAGGATCATTAGAATCAAGTATAGTTGCTCCCCCTGTTTCCTTCCCAATAACTCCACTTGTTTCCAAAGGCCAAGGTAAGACAGCAACATCATTTGGTTTCCCAGGCTTATCTTCATCCATACCAATACCTATAGACTCCCCCTGAAGAGAAGTCGGGGAAAAAAAGGATTGTGTCTCATAAAAGGTAACATCCATGGAAACAAAAACCTTACGGAGAGAAGGTGAGTAACACTTATAACCTTTTTGATTAGGGGAATATCCTATGGAGACACATCTGATGGATTTAGGGTCAAGTTTGGACCTTTGATGTGGAGGAATATGCACAAAAACCACACAGCCAAATATTTTGGGAGGAATAGAAGAAAGAGCACTGAAAAAGGGAAAAGATTTAGTAAGACAGGATAAAGGAGAATGAAAATTTAGTACCCGAGAAGGCATCCGATTAATGAGATAACAAGCTGTCAAGACGGGTTCCCCCCACAGATATTTAGGGACATGCATCGTGAATAAAAGAGCTCGAGCAACTTCAATTAGATGTCTATTTTTCCTTTCAGCCACCCCATTTTGTTGAGGGTGTTAGGACAAGAACTTTGATGAATAATTCCATGCTGGTTTAGGTAATCTCCAAGAACTGAATTAAAATATTCAGTACCATTGTCTGTTCGCAGAATTTTGATAGAAGTCTGAAATTGAGTTTGAATCATAGCATGAAAGTTTTTAAAAGTGGATGCTGCCTCAGACTTATCTTTTAAGAGATATACCCAACATACCCTAGAATGATCATCAATGAAAGTAATAAACCAACGAGCACCCGAGACATTTTTTTCACGAGCAGGTCCCCAAACATCACTATAAATCAATGTAAAGGGAGAAGATTCATGATATTTCTTAGGAGAATAAGTGACACGAGAGTGCTTTGCAAGCTGACAAATATCACAAAGAAGGGAACTTGGCTTTTTATTGATAAATAAGTTCGGCAATAACTTCTGGAGATAAACAAAATTTGGGTGTCCCAACCTACGATGCCATAACAAAACATCATTACAGTCATCTGATAAACATAGAGAGTGGTTCGAAAAAATCCTCTTTTCACAATGAACATCTGTAAAATAGTATAGCCCTTCTTCCTCTCTAGCACTGCCAATCATCATCCCCGAGTCCTGTTCTTGAAAGATACAAACATTTGCAGAGAACTTAGCAACACAATGCAACTCAGCAGTAAGTTTGCTAATAGAGATGAGATTACAAGTAAGAGAGGGAACATGAAGTACTGAGTTCAAAATAATATGCTCAGAAAGTTTAATGGATCCCTTTCCCGCAATAGTGGAGAAATTCCCATCAGCTGTTCTTATTCGTGACGGGTGATAGTAAGGGGTATAGGAGAAAAATAAGGTTGCATTACCTGTCATGTGATCAGAGGCCCCTGAATCAAGGATCCAACGATTACTACGTTCAACATGGAATGCCATACCTTTTTGAGCAACATGACTAGTTGCCTCAGCAGGTTGAGACATCAATTTCTGAAAAGACGAATTTTCAAAATTTTCAATGTCCATGGTTTTCTAACAACAGGTACCCAGAAAAAAGTTCCTCCAAATACAATGAGAGCAATCTTGGCTACAGTGAAACAGTAATTGCGACAGTAATGAACAGTACTACTACAGTAATCTGTGGGCTGGCTCAGAATCTTGTTCTGAACCTAATGGTGGCCTTGGTTTCGTGATTGGAGGTGTCTAGGTAAGGATTCTGGCTTGGGCAGTGGCTAAAACGAAAAAAAAAGGAATAGGAAAATGACTTAAAATTAAATCAGAACGAGGAAGAGACTGGAATATAACCTGCTCTTGATACCATGAAGAAAAGAAGAAGTGGAAGAAGTGTTTTATCTGAATAATACTTTCTTGATTCATTGAGAGACCCAATGGGTCCTTTTTATATTGAGTACATCCAACTACCTCAACTACTTTAATAAATATACAACCACCAACTACATCAATAAATATACAACTACCAACTAAATATACAACTACCAACTACATCAATAAATACTATCTAGAATATTCTACATATTCTACACTCAATATAAAAAGGACCCATTGGGTCTCTCAATGAATCAAGAAAGTATTATTCAGATAAAACACTTCTTCCACTTCTTCTTCTCTTCATTAATTCATGTCATAGGAGATTAGGGGACGGCGTAACTCCAAAGGATCACAATTCTCAGCCTGAGCATTAGGTTTATACAGAAAAAGGTTTCACAAACGTGCCACTGGTCCAGTTAATTCTCCAGCAGATGTTCAATCCAATTTGCTGAGTGATGATCCAACAATATTCCTTCTTCATCTCTTGACATGCCCTCTTCTGACCTTGATCTTCCTAATGCATTTAGAAAAGGAACCCGAGCTTGCAATAAACATCCCATTGCAAAATACTTGTCATATTAAAAATTTCCAAACACTCAGAGCATTTTTGTCTAAGATCTCTAATCTGCCTGTTCCAAGAACTGTTCAGGTAGCTTTAAGTGATCCGAATTGGAGATTAGAAATGATGGAAGAGATGAATGCTCTCAAGAAAAATAACACATGTTGATCTCCCAGAGGACAAGAAGACTAAATTGGTATTCATTGTGAAGTGCAAAGCTGGCTGAATTGTGGAACACACACCGCGAGGCTCGTAGTAAAAGGATTTTCTTAGTCTCTGATGAAGTACCGCACCTTTGTAGGAGGTAACTTCGTCTCTTGGAGAAGCAAAAAACGAAGTGTTGTTGCAAGAAGTAGTGTTGAAGCAGAATATTGGCCTGTTAGACATGGATTTTGTGAAGTGTTATGGATCAAAAGACTTCAAGAAGAGTTTAAGATTCCTACTACAGCTCCTATTAAAGCCTATTGTGTCAAGGCTGCAAATTCTGCAGCCCATAAAACAGTTCTGGACGACAAAACCAAGAATGTAGAAGTGGATAAGCATTTCATCAAGGAAAAGATTGACAATGATGTGACATGTGTCCTATGTACCTACCACATGTCAAGTAGATGATACTTTCACCAAAGAATTTCCTAGGGCACAGTATGAGTATTCAGTTGGCATGATGCCATGAGTGATATCTTCATGCCAAACTTGAGGCGGAGTGTTGAAAGATCGTCCAGAATATTATAAATAGAGTGTTGAAAGATCGTCCAGAATATTATTTATTTATGTATAATATTTGATTATATTCTATAATCAGAAAGTCAGAGTAGTAAAGAGATTTTAGAGATCAAACTTTTTTTTGCTTTTCCATTTACAAGGCAGGATACTTTCCTGACTTCCTCCTTTATTCTTCAGTTTATTAGGAAGAATACTTTCTCCTCTTTCCCAGACTTGCCTTTATACTGAGCACTCTCAGTCACCTAAAGAACTATTAGAAAGATGCCTAAGTCTGGGAACAACTCCCTATTTATACAAGAATTCTCAAAACAGTAAACTGAACTAACTTCCTAACTATCTCTTAGGTCTTCTATGCTACACTTTCCATATTCTAGGCCTTTCTATATCATTACCCACATTTACATCCGTATCAGTTAGATTCCCTTTTAAATCCTAAGATGGAGTCTTCATATACCAATGCACACAGGTGTAGAAATTCATTTTAACCAACTCTCTGTTTATAACTATAACAACACTTAGATTGGAGATTGGAGAAACATGCAACTTTGCATATCCATGCGGCCATGCCCATCATAAATTAAAGGATACATAGAGCAAAACATACCGAAAGATTATGCACCATGACATTTTTAACATCTTGCATCTGCAATTCTGCCTGTGAAACAACAAGAAGACTTTTTTATATATGTACACACGTGTGTTCATAGCATAATTATAATTCTTATTCAATTTACTATATTGGGAGAAGAAAAAGACAAAGATAAAGGGAGAAATCATACTTAATGTGGAGTGTGAACTTTCCATATTATCTAATACCTAAATAATTTTACTTTTAAGTTTACAAGATACTTGAAATGAGGCATTCCTGCACACCAAATGTCTCATTATGAATGCACAAAAAGAAAATTCTTTACTAACATAAAACTCCAGTGGATTGCAAGAAATGTTAATCCACCATACAGTAAGAAGCAAAAGAATTGTTGTAGAGTAATTTAATTTACAATCTTATCTTACATCTGGCATTGTAGGTCAACTCAGGACGCCCAACACATAATTCAATCCCAAATATTGTATAGCTTCTTTGATTATTCAGCAATATTATGTGATATCCCAACTGCTTTATGTTGATTATGTAATATGCTCATTTCTCTTTGAACACCAAGAATTACATTCAGAGAATATCAGTACGGAAAAAATTTCGATACAATTCTTGTGGGACAAAATTCGCCTTTTCTTTTTTCATATACTAATTCAAAAATTAAATTAGCATTCTATTAACATTATCAAGCTGATAATTGTAATACAGGTCTCATTTATTAGAACAGGTAGGAGTGGAAGAAGGCAAGAATTAACAAGACACGTCACTTAATTAGCATGCTGACTTGATTACCAATAAATATGCTAAGAACTTTTAAGCAACACATACACTGAGTTAGCACCAGAACATGCATGGAAAGTGTTAAGAACCTTGAGATCACCACCCCAAAAGCTAGCTCAAAGGGTGGGAGTGCACAAGGCCTTATAAACTCCACATTAGTTGCATATACAACCAATGTGGGACTATATATCTCAACACGCCCCCTCACACGAGAGCCCACTGTGCTTGAAGGGTGGACAACATACAAACCCACCTACATGTGGAAATTCCACTACAAAGAAAGTGGGAGGCGGTGAGATTTCGAACGCTCTGATACCATGTAAAGAACCTTGGGATACACCACCCCAAAAGCTAGCTCAAAGGGTGGGAGTGCACAAGGCCTTATAAACTCCACATTAGTTGCACATACAACCAATGTGGAACTATATAGTCCCACATTGGTTGTATGTGCAACTAATGTGGAGTTTATAAGGTCTTGGACACTCCCACTCTTTGAGCTAGCTTTTGGGGTGGTGACCTCAAGGTTCTTTACATGGTATCAAAGCCTCGCCGCCCCCACTTTCGCTTGTGGCATTTCTTAGCACAGGTAGGCTGGGCCTGTTGCACTGTCCAATCTTCAAGTCCAATGGGCTCTCGTGTGAGGGGGCGTGTTGAGATATATAGTCCCACATTGGTTGTATGTGCAACTAATGTGGAGTTTATAAGGTCTTGGACACTTCCACTCTTTGAGCTAGCTTTTGGGTGGTGTATCTCAAGGTTCTTTGCAGAAAGGAAGTCACTAGAATTTTTGGCAGTCAAAGTGCAGGAATTGAAATATTATTTTCCACACAGAAAACCTCAACCTGTAATGACTTCGTTAAATGCACCACACTTCTCTTTGTTGCTCCATATGCAGCAAACCTAAGAAAAAGGGGAGAAATTGATAATTTTCACCATGGCATGTATAAGACTGTTGATAATTTTGTAAGACGTTAACTGAGATTATAATACATAGTGAAATCTAGGATGCCTTCTTGGATTTCATCTAAAAGCTACCTTTCAATTGACACCACCCATAACATGCTACCTCCTAGGCTTTAAAGGTATTGGTAGAGTTTATAAGAAATTATTCTGAAGAAAGAACTCGTGATATATCACTTTCATCAAATTGGGAGCAAAACCAATGTGACATCATTAGACTACAGCATGGTTCACCAATGGTAAACAAGCACTGATTTAATATGCCATTAGCGACTGATTATTTAGTTTTGTAAAGTTTTTTTATGATGTTGCTAACCACATCATACTACAAACAAACCTTTCAGCCCAAGAGACCCATATAGAAGTGAACCTTTCTAGATTTGCAGAGCACATGGCAACCATGCCTAACTTGGCTGTCTGTCCCAGAATACATTAACAAATAAAATACTCCAATAAAGTCAAAAAATACCTGGGTGTTGGTCTTCCATCAGAACCTGCTCCATCAATATTGAAAATATGACCTCCGCGAGGCTGGCTCACCATCATTTTTATTGCCTAAATAGAAACTAAATATCTGTTGATAACAGTGCACCTAATTCATTCAGAGTGCCTCTTAGATGAGAATATAGTATACCTCTCGACAACATATCATCAAGCCAAGTGTATTTGTTGTAACCACCTCACTGCATGCACAGAAAAAAGAATTTCAAAGAATGGAAAAAAAAAAAATATAAAAAATGTGACATTTATGGTGAAAGGTATATTGTAGCTCACATAAGATCTTCATCTGAAGCCTCAGCAAGTGGCTTATAGCTATATGCATTTGATCCAGCGTTATTAATCTGGACGTTCTCAACATAAGGTGTACAAAATAGAATTAGTATACTTTAATAAACACAAGCAACGAAAAACTGGAGCAGAAACTGATAAAAAATCAACATTGGTATAAGAAAATGTCAAATTATAAAAAGTGGAAGAATGGGGATGGAAGGGGAAGGGGAAGCAGAGAGAGAAATGTGATAGAATTGTAATATAATAGGTCAGAGTAATACGCACAACACAGGGTTTTGGCCCAGAATACTGGATTTTATGTATATTATCAAGCAAAAATTACAATAACAAAATACTGTTTAAGACTGAAACAAGTTAAACGCAAGCACAAAAACAACCACCAATTACAATAATTTCCCAAGCTGGTTCAGTGCTAATAAGAGGCACTGATCCCTCCCAAAGAACTCCCAAATTTCCAGCCTCCTTCATCCCTTTATTTTCCCGTTTATATAACTACTTGTGATGCACTTTCACGCCTCAGCCCCATGCCACACACCAACTTCTCTCTCCCTAACCGAATTCTCACCAGCCTCAGCACCAACAGCTATGATATTCCCTCTCTCCTGTGAGTCGGCATTAGGATTCGATCCCCTGTGACGCTTTCTACTATACACCTTAAGAAGAGTTCTATCAATACTCCCCCCCAAAACCTTCACCTTGTCCCCAAGGTGAAATGCAGGAAATTGGAAATCAATTTGAGCTGAATCTTCCCAAGAATTTTCAAAGGAAGGAAGCTTTAACCACTTAATCAAAACTTCCACACGACCCATGGAATTTCGTCGCCATTGTAAGACAGCTTCTGGCTGAACACTGAGCTCCCACTCCTCATTCAGCATAGGAGGAAGAGGCTGTATGGTGTCAGTGGGTGAGATAGCCTTTTTAAGAAGTGAAACATGAAAGACATTGTGGACCTTGCATTCCACTGGTAACAATAATCGATATGCTACAGCACCAATTCGCTCCACCACTTCGTAGGGTCCATAAAATCTAGGACTAAGCTTCTCATTCAATTTTTTTGCCAACGATCGTAGACGATACGGTTGAAGCTTGAGAAAGACCATGTCACCTACTGCAAATTCCACGTGTCTCCTATGTTGATCTGATTGAGCTTTCATTCTACCTTGAGCAACCATAAGATGTTGTTGTAACTCTTGTAAAATTAAGTCTCGGTCTTGTAACATTGTGGAGACTTCATCAATTGGAGATATAGCAAAGCTGGACCGAAACAGAGTAGGAGGTTCGCATCCATACACTGCCTTGAATGGGCTGGTACCCGTGGCAGTCTTGAAGGTAGTGTTGTACCAAAACTCTGCCCAATGCAACCAGGATGGCCAAGTGTTGGGTTTAGGCGAACAAAAACACCTTAAATAATCTTCCAAACAACGGTTAACTACCTCCGTTTGGCCATTGGACTGTGGGTGATAAGATGTGCTATATTTCAATTTGGTGCCACTACAACGGAACAACTCTGACCAAAAAGAGCTAAGAAAAACTCTGTCCCTATCACTGACAACGGATGTTGGGAATCCATGTAATTTAACTACTTCTTTGATGAACAAAAGAGCAACTACCTTGGCTGTATAAGGATGCTTAAGGGGAATAAAATGGGCATACTTAGAAAGGCGGTCTACTACCACGAAAATCGTGTCAAAACCTTGAGCCTTTGGTAGTCCTCCAATAAAATCCATCGACAATTCAGTCCAGGCACAGGTAGGAATGGGCAGGGGTTGGAGCAGCCCTGCAGGAGATAATGTCGACACTTTATTTTGTTGACACACAGAACAAGCGGCCACATACTCCTTAATCTTCTTGTTCATACCTTCCCAATACACCAAGCTGTTGATTCTTTTCAGAGTCCTCAAGAATCCAGAATGGCCACCAACATAGGAATCATGAAATTCATGCAGTACCATTGGAATAAAATTGGAGTTTTTTGCCAATACCAATCTGCCTTGGTGAAATAAACGGCCTCCATTGAGGCTGAACCCAGCGTGTGATTGAGGGTTGATGACCAAGTCTTGAATAATTCCTCTCATTCTGATGTCTGCTTGTAATTCTTGCTCCAGCACTTCATATTTGCTAGCATCCACACAAGAGAGGGAGAAACAATGCAGATTCCGGGACAAGGCATCTGCAACTTTATTCTCCCTACCCGGTTGGTACTGAATCTCAAAATCGTATCCTAGAAGCTTGGATACCCATTTCTGCTGTTCCTCTCCCAGCATTCGTTGGTCAGTCAAGAACTTTAAGCTTTTTTGATCAGTTTTGATAATGAAATGGCGACCCAATAAGTATGGTCTCCACTTTTGAACGGCAAACACAATTGCCATTAACTCTTTTTCGTAAACTGATTTTTCCAACGCACGTGAAGAGAAAGCCTGGCTGATATAACTGAGTGGACGATCCCCCTGAGTAAGCACTGCTCCCATCCCTTTTCCTGATGCGTCAGTGACCACAGTAAACGTTTTACCAAAGTCTGGCATTGCTAGGACTGGAACGGAGCACATGGCACTCTTTAACAGCTCAAATGCCGACTGAGCTTCCTTACTCCAAAGGAAAGCATCCTTTCTTAATAGGTCAGTTAAGGGCTTCGCAATCTGACCATACCCTTGAACAAACTTCCGATAGTAGCCCGTTAATCCCAAAAACCCTCTCAGCTCTTTCAATGTTGTAGGACTAGGCCATTGAGACATGGCTGCAATCTTGGAAGGATCAGCTTTTACACCCTCCTCTGAGATTAAATGGCCGAGGTATTCAATTTGCAACTGCCCGAAGCTACACTTCTTTCTATTTGCCACAAGACTATGTTGTCTCAAAATACCCAAAACACACCGGAGATGCTGGAGATGTTCAACCAGACTGTGGCTGTAGATTAAAATATCATCGAAGAAAACCAGCACAAACTTGCGCAAATGAGGCTTTAATATCTCATTCATCAGTGATTGGAAGGTTGAAGGAGCATTGGTGAGCCCAAAGGGCATCACCAAGTACTCGTAATGTCCCTCGTGGGTTCGAAAAGCCGTCTTGGGTATGTCCTCTTTCCGCATTCTAATTTGGTGATACCCTGACTTAAGATCAAGTTTGGAGAAAACCTTGGAGCCACCTAACTCATCCAAAAGTTCTTCAATCACCGGAATTGGGAACTTGTTCGGCACAATGAGTTTGTTGAGGGCCCTATAATCCATGCAAACTCTCCAACTGCCGTCCTTCTTGCGTACTAAAATGACTGGGCTCGAGTAAGGGCTGATGCTTGGTCTTATCATCCCTGCAGTGAGCAACTCAGAAACCAGTGACTCAATCAAGGACTTTTGGTAGTAGGGATACCTGTAAGGCCGTATGTTTGGCACTCCACTCCCTGCTTTCAACTCAATTGCATGATCGTGCCGTCTGTGAGGAGGTAGGCCCTGTGGTTGCTGAAAGATGTCATCAAACTCCTTCAGCAGTAGTGAAAGCTCAGCCCAATCAACTGGCATGATTGTTGATTCTCCTTGAATCCACTGAGGCCCAACAACACACCCTTGACCACTGTCCTTTAACGTCTTCACCATTGAACGAAGAGAGGACCAAGCTCCCTTGCGTGACAGAGCCGGATCTCCGTGAAGTACCGTCGCATTTTCCCCATCATTAAACTTCAACGTGAGTTTGTTGAAGTCAGCTGTGATCTCCCCCAAGTTCCTCAGCCACTCCATGCCCAAAATTACCTCTGCACCACCCAAATCAAAGACGAACAAATCTAATGTCATTTGAAACTCCTGAATCTGCAACGGAACTTGACGGCACACACCTTGGCTGCCCACCTTGTGACCGTTGCCAAGCACCACCTTAAAACTATATGAATCTTCAATGGTGAGTTTCAATCGTTCAGCCACCTGACGATTGATAAAATTATGAGTCGCACCACTGTCAACCAACGTCGTCACTTTCTCGCCGTTCACCGTTCCCCACATCTGCATACTTTGGTTTGAAGAAAGCCCTAAGACACTGTAGATGGAGAGCTGTAAGAGTGCAGCTTCAATGGGCTGGGATTCTTCAACCGGTTGCAAAATCTCTTCGCGCGTCTCCATGGGCGAAGGAACTTCTGGATCGGTCAACTCCTCATCTTCTTCGATGACCAACAATCGGAGATGGGCGTTCCAGCAGCGGTGGTTGCGGTCCCACTTCTCTCCACACTTGAAACAGAGACCCAAGCGACTTCGATCGTGAAGTTCCGCCTGGCTGAGCCGTCCACCTCCACCAACCAGGTTGCTACCAGAACCAGAAGCTTCCATGGTTCGTGTTGCTCCCTCACTGCCCACGTTATGAGAACGGGTAGGGTTTGTGTGACCAGAACGCGTGTCGTTTTGAATGGTGGGGGAAACTTGATGACCGACACCTGTCATGGACGTGGCATTAGTGGCCATGCCCTTGGCATGTGACGCGTTAAAGAACCCTTTAATGGGCTGATTGGAGCGGCCCACTACACTTGTCTTTCCAGCGCCCCACGAACCCAGCCCATCACTAGCCCACGAAAAATTTCTTCTCTCCAAACTCATCGTCTTCCTCATCAAGTCAGATAATGATACTATATTGGCTTGCATCAGCTCAGTGCGCAGACTGCTATGAACCCCATGCAACCAGATCTCCTTAAGCATAGCCTCATCTGCATATCGAATAGGGCTGATTATTCTCTCAAATTCAGCCCTAAAGCTTGCAACGCTACCCGTCTGCTTCAGACTCATCAATTCCTGGTAGGGACTCCCAGTTAGCTCCAATTGGAATCGGTCCATAACATCCATTCGAAAATCTTCCCAAGACGCGTTGGGGTTGCCACGCTCCCAAACGAAGAACCAATTTAACGCTGGACCATCCAAGACGATCATGACAGCGTCTATCCTTGCTCTTTCTGGGATTGCATTGACCAGAAAGTATCGTTCCACCCTGGTCACCCAAGAGAACACATCATCCCCAGAAAATCAAGGGAGTTCCAATCTGGGCTGACGCAAAGGTCCTCCCCCACGTGTACCTGCGAGTGGGTTTCTCCAGTCAGAATCTGTGGATTCCGTGCTCCTTCGGCGAGAGCGACCTCGACGCGGGCTGCCATCCCCATCAACTCGAACTCGATGGCGAGGATGACGTTGTAACAAGGCTAAAATCTCATTTAGCCGTTGGTCACTTTGTTCGTGACGCTCTTCAGCTAAAGTCTCGATTCTCCGTAAGCGTTCCTCCACGATCTCCAAACGATTGTCCATGTTGCGAGTAACAACCATTCAAAGCACCCCAAGGATCGGAGTGCTCTGATACCAGTTGATAGAATTGTAATATAATAGGTCAGAGTAATACGCACAACACAGGGTTTTGGCCCAGAATACTGGATTTTCTGTATATTATCAAGCAAAAATTACAATAACAAAATACTGTTTAAGACTGAAACAAGTTAAACGCAAGCACAAAAACAACCACCAATTACAATAATTTCCCAAGCTGGTTCAGTGCTAATAAGAGGCACTGATCCCTCCCAAAGAACTCCCAAATTTCCAGCCTCCTTCGTCCCTTTATTTTCCCGTTTATATAACTACTTGTGATGCACTTTCACGCCTCAGCCCCATGCCACACACCAACTTCTCTCTCCCTAACCGAATTCTCACCAGCCTCAGCACCAACAGCTATGATATTCCCTCTCTCCTGTGAGTCAGCATTAGGATTCGATCCCCTGTGACGCTTTCTACTATACACCTTAAGAAGAGTTCTATCAAAATGCTTGTAAGTAAGTGACAGCTGACTGTAAATCTAAAGATGACCATAGAATTTCACAAAGCCTCTTTGTCCCATATTGCCTGAAGAGGGAGTTACATAAGCAAACTAAGACTAGAAAGAAAAAAGAAAAAAACATGTAATTAAATGTAAAAAACTATTTCAACCCAAAAGCTTAAGCTGTTGGGTGAGGCTACATTAATGGTTTTATTTTTCTCTAACATGCCCCCTTACATGAGAGCTCATTGGACTTGAAGGGTGGATAATGCACAGGACCACCTACCCATGCTAAGAAACTCCACAAAAATTAATTATTAATTAAATGGAGGGCGGTGAGGATGGAATCCACCGAGGCTCTGATACCATGTAAAGAACCATTTTCAACCCAAAAACTTAATTATTGGGTGAGACAACGTTAATGGCTTTATATTTCTCTAACGAGTAGGGTTATATTGACAAACTTTTTTTTTACAAACTTACAAATTACATTACGTCTAACCGGTAATACTCTACTCAAGAGTATATTAGTCATAGTGTAGTTTGTAAACAAAAAATTTGTAAATATAACCTTCCCCTACTCTAACATAATAAAACATAAGTTTCCAGGTAAATGCCGGTAAAAATTTACTTGAGGTCTTGAGTTCAAGTTCCACTAAAAGGAAGTAATGAGTAAATAATGACATGGCTAGCAATGTAAAGAATCCAGTAAATTTCCAAGTAGGTCATTAGCTGAAATTCAGTTACTAGACGGCATGCCTAAGCAGACTTTTCATGAAAGGTATTACAATGGTAGCAGATTTCCAAGCAAGCCAATATTAATTCTTTCATTTGCAGATATAAGTTCACTCATAATTGTTAATTTGTGGAAAAGAAAACAAATACCATTTTTACAATAAAAATAACAAAGTAGAACATTTCATTGCACTCATCCAAATAAAATATATGGTACTACGGAAAATTAATTTGAAAAATCATTTCTCTGGTCAAACTTATAATTGTTTTAAGAACAGCAGCCTACATAGTTGATAAGACCGTCACTTTAACAATGAGAACTAAATAAAATTAAATCCTAACAATATTTTTCCACCCATATATGCAAAATAAACAATCACAATGGAATAAAGAAATCAGAAATTAATACCCATATATCAATGTATTTCAGTTTTTCTTGAGCAAATGAAACTAAATTCTTCACATCCTCTCCATTTCTCACATCACATTTAGTGCCCTGCAAGAAACAAAAACGTGAACATGAAATGCACAAGCCAGATATAAATTTGTCACAGATGGGTTAACACTAACAAAGGAGTTCAAGAGGAGGTACCCACACATGCTGCTCCCCAAATTCTACTCTCAAGCTCTGTACATTAGCTTGTACCCTTTCACCTATTAAATGAAAACCAAGATATAGAGAAAGACAAAGAAATCAGATAAATAAGATTGTAAAATCCCAGCCATTAAGCAATAAGTTGTAAGGTAATTTAAAATTTCAAGAGAAAGCATAAATAACAAGGTGTGGGACTAACAATAACAGAAAGGAAACAAATATCCATAAATGATAATCTGACAGAAAATATATATTAAAAATGAATGCAATAGAATAACTGATTTGGTCTCCACTTTGACACCAGGAACTAAAAGGAAAAATTAAAAGTAATTATGTTCTTCTCTCGAAGAAAATTTTCAGCATCAAAATCACATCAAGCCCTGAAGAAATTAATTATAATTAGCATGTGAATAAGTTTCTGGAAACAAATCTCAAGAATATCAGCAAAAATAAACAATGATTTCCAAGAAAATATAACTGGTCAAAAAGTTGTTGAAATTTTTTAACTGCTTCAGCAAACCATTCCTAAGAAGAGTGCAGAGACCCAAAAAGTACTTTTTCAATTTTTACAAACAGAATTGAAAGGAATTAAGGAAAAACATTTTAACAAAAAAGGGGATCATTGATGCATCAATTATGTACATTTGACATAAATAGCAGTGATATACAATTTGAATGCTTTTAAATATATGTCAATCATGAAATAAACAAATTGCATAGAAGAGTTGCTCCGCACATGATCTTGAGCAAATTATGACGTTGTCACCAGCTTTTAGAAACTCTTTCGCCAATGCATACCCTATTCCTGAATCGTATAGAAAATATAACACACCAACTGAGAATAAGTTAAGAAAAATGGGAAATGAATTTTATTATGGTGTGTATGTGTGCGACAATCAGAGGCTACTTAATCAAAGCTTCAATTCATTTGAATGTCATTAGTTCAAGTATTGGAGCTTAATTTGAAACTCAAAAGAAAAAACTACAAAGAAACATATTAAAGGACCCCATTTAAAAGCAACAAGGATTCCATCTAAAATACACTCAGAGTGCAGAACAAGCTACTAAATTTATTTATTTTTTTAAAGGGTTCGTGTATGTCATTTAAAAAGACACAAGACTTACACACAGTATGACCGGTCATACTCTGTGTAAATCTGAAAAGTTTTTTTTTTTCACTTTACACATCAGCATGACTGGAGAGAGAGAGAGAAAAGCAACTTTTCATATTTACACACAGTATGACCAGTCATACTTCGTGTAAATCTGAAAAATTGTTTTTTCTTTTCACTTTACACGTCAGCGATGTGACTGGAGAGAGAGAAAAAAAAGTAATTTTTCAGATTTACACACAGTATGACCTCTGTGTAAAACACCTAAAAGGGCACAAGCTTGTGCCATTCAAAAGGATACTACTTTTTCCCTTTTTTAAGAAAGAAGAAGAGAAACTCAATGGCAAAATGGAGTAAACTAGCACTTTAGTTTAACTTATTTCGTTATGTAATAAATCCTTTCCTGTGTTATTTAACACGACCACCATATCATGTGAGAGAATACTAATCATTCAAGGGTGAATTAACGGCGGTGATGATTTTATAATTACCTATTCTAATATATTTTTTTTCTCTTCGTTATCGCTCTTTCTTATCACCATTGATTCACTTGCACATAGCTATGATTATTCTGAATGATATGATCATGTTAAATAACACATGAATGAATCCACTCCCTTTGCATAATTAGCAACATAGTTATCATTATATTAAGATTATTCATTCACATTACTGCATTTGTTATTTATCTCTAATTAGGGACTAACATGAAAGAAATTAAAAATAATTGAAATTAGGAACTAAATTGCAAGGGAGTTACATTTTCAAGTAACAAAATACCATTTAATTCAAAATAAATAATAATAATAATAAATCTGACCTTTGGTTGAGCCAGTCACCAAAACGTTGTAAGGTGGAAGCATGGGCTCTCTATTACTAGAAGAAGCCGTTACAAGCAAAGTTGGATTTCTGAAAGCACTGAGGCTGTTACTGTTACTGTTACTGTTACTGTTACTGTTACTGTTACTGTAACTGTTGCTGTTGTTGGGTATGCAGATATTTTGGCGGGAAGCAACAATGAATTGGGAAGCTACAGAGAAGGGAGAGACCCAAATTTGAGAGTGAGAAGAAAGCGTTGGACATCGAAAGTGGAAGGATGGAATGGCAGCCATTGATGATGGGAATGTGAAGAAGCTGAGCAAAACAAAGCAAGAACGGATAGTTATGTTATGCTTCGTGGTTAACCCCACGCGCTTAGCTATGCGGCACAACGCGCGTGTATGTGTGCCACGAGTTGTGTTTAAGAATTTCAGTGATCTAAATTCAATGGTTAGGACCAATTAAAATTAAATAATTAAAAAAAAATGAAAAACAAATTTTTGTCCAAATATCATTCGGAAGTATTATATGGGACTTGGAGCACCAAATTTTTTTCCTTACTTAGCAAATTGCAATGATTAAAAAACTGGATTGGATGAGAAAAGTGTTCGGTTAATTTAATTTAATAAATTAATTGTGTTGAAAATTAATAGATAATAATAAGTTGAACGGTTCAAAAGGTAATGTGGGATCTAAGTTGAACGAACTCATTTTTATTTTTTTTTGGAGTTACCCAACCCTAATTATCTCTTTGAGACGAGTTGGCTCCCTCCGGTATCCCCACGAGCTTCGACTCTTTGAGCCGGCTATGGAACTAATCCGGAGTGCGGGGGAACAGTGAACTCATTTTTATCATGGGAGATCATTATCTTATGTTATTGGAAAAAAATCTCTCCTTTAAAAAATTATTATTATTTACTACAAATAATACATAATTATAATATTAAAGTTATTTTTTTGTATAAAAAAAAGTTTTTTTCTCTCCTCAAACATTGTTGTAGGAGAAAAAAATGGAAAGAGAAAAAATAATTTAACTATTATAAATGTGTACTATTTATAATATATAATAATTTTTTTGTTGCAGGAGATAATTCTCTCATATAACATGAGAAAAATCAAACCCTTTTATTATTATGGAAAATTGGGAATGTTAAAAAAATATTTTGGTCCAAAAGAGATGAAAATGGGTCAAAATTAGTCAAATTAGTTTGGACCCAAAAAAATTTAAAATTAATTTATCCATATAAAATAATTTGTTATTTCTTATGAAAGAGGTAAAGAAAAGAGTAGAGATAACTTCTCATTACATTGTGTTGTCTGTATACTAGATTTGTAATGGTCTCTATTAATAGACCATTTACTATAATGAGTTACAATAAAATAAATGATAATGTTGAATCCTCCTAATTATATATTATTAACTTATAGGAGTTACAAAAGGCTATACATTATTTCTTTAGGGGGTTTATGGACATCCAAATTCTTTTTATTTATAATATTCCCCTTGGATGTCCATTAAGATAATGTACTTCATTAAAACCTTACTAGAAAAATTCTATGGAAAAAAATCCTAGAGAAGAAAAAAGAGTATACATTTCTAATAATATGTATCACAAGTTACCTCGTTAAAAACCTTATAAGAAAAATCCAATGGAACAAAACCTTGGTGAAGGAAAAAAGAGTGCAGCAGATGCTTCACTCCCCTAATGATAACATCATTTAATGTCTCTAAGTCTATGAATCTCAGTCTTACATATCAACTTCTCAAACTTGAATTAAGTGATGTCTGCCAAATTATCTCTTGAACAAATTTATTGAACACCATGAAATAGTTATGCTTCCACTTATGATCAAAATCTTGTTTGTGATATGCCTTTGTGTGGTTCAAGTAAATATCCTGCATTGTTCTTGTATCTTCATATCAGAGAAGAATTAAATCATGCTTATAGACTTACAAATAAGAAAAATAAAATATAAGAGTAAGGGGAAGAAGATATAAAGTTCAAAAGTCAAACATCCACTTTAATAATTTTATAAACTCCTGGATGTTCATCCTTTATTATACACTAATAAATATCGCCTCAATTGAATTAAGATATGGCTTCAAGAAATTTTTTATTGGGTTTAAATGAATATTTTATTTATGTCAAACGAGCTCACAACCATTGGGGTACTCAATGGATGTGCTTTATCCATGTAAAATATCTTTAAAATCTTCTCTATATAAGTCAATTAATAGATAAATATTTTATTGAGTTGATTATACCACATATGTCTTTATTTCATTAATTCATTTAATGATATTTGAAGCTTTTTCCACAAATTTTCCCAAAAAAATTTATATGCTTCAAGCATTTTGAATCCTTCTAGGATTTTCATATCGAATGAGTCATATAAACAGGCTATAATAACATCCATTAGACGCATATCAAATTTTCATATACTGCCAGACTAATAAGATATCTGAAAGTGATCGCATCCACCACAAGAGAATATATTTCATATAATAAATGTCATACTTTTGCGAAAATCATTGTGCTACAAGTCGTGTTTTATATCTTACGACTTCATTTTTGCACATTTGTACTCCACTGGCTTTATCCCTTCATGTTTTTGGATTATAGGTCCAAAAAATTTAAATTTTAGTTGCGTCTTTATATTTTGGCCAATTATTTTTCTATTTACATTATAAGAAAATTTAGTTTTAAGATTCACATCTTGTTTCATTATTTCATTGTTTGCGAAAATGTTCTCCACAACTATACCTTTACGGTTCTAACTTTTTCGTGTAATGACATAACTAATTGAAATCTCTTCATTTTCATTATTTTCAAGTACCTGAACCTCCCTCGAGGTTTAATAAAAGTTATGTCTTCAAGATTAACAATTGTCTCCATATTATGACCATCTTAATCATTTTGTAACACCCTAAATTTTTAACAATTTTAACAACAATAAAATATTCCTATAATAAAGAAATTTAAAAAAATAACAATTTTAATTATTTATTAAGATCTTATAACTATTGCGGAAGCTAATCTAAAACTAATTTGGAAAAATGTTACCGCCGCACTTGTAACATGGACAAGTGCAAGGCTCTTTATTACATTTATAAATATTACAATAAAATCAGAGACTATGTCTTATACATACATTTAGGATTAGCTTAAAATCTCTGAGTAGTTATCCTCATTGCCCACTGTTAACCCTATCTTTTGCAACTTGCATCACTGAAACTCTGCTCCCCTTAAGGATCAGTGCAGTACAAATACAAAAAATACAATCAGCAAAAGCTAGTAATCTCAATCTAAAACACAACAAAGATAGTTATAAGTTAATCAATAATTATAATCAACTTAAAATCAATCAAGGCATTTTATTTAGAATAATTATATCTCAATAAATTAGAATAATCAACTCAATGATATTTTAATAAGGATAATCATCAACTAACATATTCAGCACAATATTAATCACAATATTACATAGATGATAATAATCACAACTCAAATATTCATCATAATCAAATCAAGTATCAAATTCTAGTATTAATCATGTTTAAGTTCATTTAGTGTATTTAGTGAGAAGAGAACCATGGTAGACCCGAGAAACTCTGTCAGTCACAAATAATCAAATTGGCCATAATCAAAACATCTCTTCCTAGTATGCAGACCTCTTCCTAAAGTTGCTACTAGTATCCCGAAAAATCCTACCATACACTACTTTGGGAAGAACAAATAATATATGTTCACATCGTATAAATATATCAGAGGCATGTCATCCCAAAGCTATCCTCCCACTAATAATTTATTTCAAACACACATATAATAAAATTCCCAAATATGGATAAATATCACATACCGGTTATTCAACAATTCAAATTGATATATGGATAATCTGCTTCAGTTTTGAAAATATACATAACAATCAAGAATTTGTAACAATTGTAAACTTACACTGATCGACGACAATCTAAAACAATTAAAACCATATTTCAATTCACGATAACCGATAATAATATTAAAGAAAAAACACAGATGCAGAACGACAATTTTGAATTCAATGAAGGTAATTCAAGAAAATCGAAAAAGGCAAATTGGTAAACATATATATATATATGGACTTATCATTTCTCAAGCTGCCGAAGATAAAGTTATCTCCGGCTACTAAATCATAACCGTATAAAGATGGATCAATGGTGATAAAGGAAGAGAGAGAAAAGTGGAATCATAATCATTCAAAGGTGAATCAATACATATAAGGAAATAAATAATCAAAACGACGTAGTTTTGGGGTGACCGAAAATAAATTTATCTCAAGCAGCTTGAGAAATGTTTTTTCCAATATATATATATGTATATATATATATATGGGGGGCTTTGCATTTCTCATTTAACATGATGTTAGAAAAATTTCTACACATATATAATTCAAATGGGTCTCACCATAAACAAAAAATAAAAAATAAAAAATATTGCACGCAAAATGATCTCTCTCTGACATGAAAAAAAACAATTCTCATCTCATGTTAAAGGAGAAAGTGTTTTCCGATATATATATATATATATATATATATATATATATATATATATATATATATATATATATATATGCGGGGAAACAATTTGAAGGTAATTCACGAAAATCGAGACGACAATTTGGATTTAATGTACAACATGTAACAATTGCTTTCTATTGTATATAATATTCAAATATCATTTGTGCAACACAGATCGTGCAAAACGATCGTGATGGAACAAAGAGGTTATTCAACAACCCAGATTTCAAGAAAAATAAAAATAATAAAAATAAAAATCGCCTTAAAATAAGAATAAATTATGGGTTCTATAAGAGAACCTAGGGATTAAGATTATATATACTAAATATATAATTATATAAAGACAAGGACTACAAGCAATAAATTTCATTTAAAAGATAAGGTACGATTTCCTAGGGATTAGGATTACATATACCAAATTTCATATATAAAGAAAATAACCTAAAGGAACCTAGGAATTCCAAATTTCATATACACAAATAACATAAGAGAACAGAGGGATTAAGATTATATGGGTTTCTATGTTTTCTACCTTCTAGAAGAAAAGCGACTTGGGGAAGAGAAGCGATTGATAACCAAAGGGGAAATAATGATTTGAGCAGAGAAGCGATTGGTAACCAAATTAAAATAATCATAAAATAAATAAAATAAAATAAAATTTTGAGGTAAGAAGAGAGTAGTAGAAGAGAAGAAGAGAAGAAGAGAAATATTGAGGATTAGAAATGATTTGGTTTAGTTAGACTGAACCTCTATTTATAGTTGGAGT